TAGTTCTTCCTCAGTCAAACTAAAGAACATTTCCAAAGCTTAAACAAGCACCATACACAGAACATGTTGAATCAACGTGCATACCAGCATCCCAAAGTTGTAAAGCAAGAAGGGTAAGTTCTGTTAACAATGATCAGATGTGGCAGACACAAGAAAAGATGACAAGCTCATTTCCTCCACCCACAGTCAATACTAAAAATGGAACAATGACCACTGTGGTAAACAAGGCATTTCCATTTTTGCTTGCCAAACTTCTTTGCAGAAGGAGAATGCAAGTGTGGACTGCTGTATTAGATGCGCACAGCCCTGGAAGTATCACATTATTTCAAGTATGTTGGCCAGGGCTAGGAGTTCAACAGAAAGGGAGTATTTGAATGGCTCTGCACTGACCACAGCTGCATGATTTACTTATGTAGCAACTACTTGCATAGTTTGTTTCCACAGCAAAGCCAGACTATCTGTGACAAGGCAAGACCCACACTTATTAACAGAGCAGCCAATCTGGGCAGGGGACAGAACAGACACAAGCAGTATCTGGAAAGAGGAATTTCCTTTGCCATTGGATCTGGCAAATTGAAAGAAAAGACACAAGATATATGCCCCTGAGTCAGTCACTGGAACCAGCGTGGAAGAAAGCAAGTGAAGAACTCAGCACCAATAGCACTTTGGGGCAGGAGAGACTGCATCACTTCTAAGTACTTAAGGTGTTATCATGGAGCCAGAAAAGTAGCGCAAAGCAAGTGTTCCACCCCAAAAAATTACACAGAAGTACTGGTTTTCCTATACAAAGTAGAAGAAGGGCTCAACCACAGCATTCAGATGACAACCATAAGTGTAATAGCCAGTCTTCTGAGTCTATTTTCAGAAACATGTGCAGACATCTTTCCTCTCTGGTCCATGATTTTGCAGAAATACACAGCTTTTGGTTCAAGGCCAAAGATGACCTTGCACCCAAGACACATCTGAATAGAATGAAAGAAAGTTTAAGGACTCAGAACTGTAGTCTTCAAATTTCTAAGATTCCAGTTACAGTGGAAATGAGAAAAAGCTGTTTCCAAAATGGCTTTGTCAACAGAAAAGCAGTAAAACTTAACAAAAAATATAAAAAATCCTTGACTATTTATCAGCACTGAAAACATTATGGGGTATGTTACCAACCAGTAAAAGCTATGAAACAGAACAAAGAATTGGGAAAATGAGTCTGTGGTTTCAAGTTTACTTTTTTCTTATTTGTTTTAGAAGTGTCCTCCCTTCCCAAGATGAGTTAGTTTTCAATTCTTCCTACCCTTTAATTCATTACTGTTTACCACATGCCCTCAAACTAGGGGAGGAGGAGAGGTGGGTAACAAATGCACAAACCCCAAGACACACATAAATGAAATCCAAAGGCCTCTCCTATTCATTGTTTCCGAAAGTGTCCAGAGGGATAAGAATGAGAGAAATGAAGATATTGCCACCTCTGGATTACAAGTAGCACCAATTAACACATTTTCACAACAGAGGGATTTTCTTACCAAGGCTTTCTCAAATTGCTTTCTGAACAATACCATTCAAATGTTAAGTTGCAGTAAAGAGAACATGCAAAACTACCCAAACTAGTGTTTCCAACAAGAAAGGAAAAAGAATTCCCATTACACTGATGCCTTTTCTTTCTTTTATTTTTAATTAGGCCTAGAGCATTAGCCTTATTTTTTCATTGCATGATCATCATGGATTTGGTACTACTGCTATTTTAACTTTAGAGATACATAAGCAATCATGGCAATATATAGATTTTTCTTTTTATATTGCTTTTAGGTCCAAATTAGTTGACAGGCACTCCTCTGAACAAGAGCCTCTTTCTGTACTTGTTACACTATGAGGTGATGAGGCTGCTGGCAAGCAGGCTTCCAGCTGGAAAGCACATGCTTGTGTCACCACATGTTCTAGTTACCACATTAAAATGACCCATAACAGGTCTCCTGGAAAGACCCAAGTAAAGCACAATTTCAGACATCAAAATAAGATGAATGTGCAGGAATCATGTGCTCAAGTATCTTGGGAAGAAGACTTTACAGAAGAAGAGCAAAACCCAGTGCTAGAGCGTGGAGAAATAGAAAACCTTGGGCTGAAGAATCATCCCAGTTAAACACAGATACTTCTTTTTGGATAAGTTAGCATACCATGCTCCCTAAAATGCTGGTTTGAGCCCTTCACATTGACTGCAACAGCAGGCAACAGATCCAACCACCCCAGTCTGCTGAACTAAACTTTCCCAGTATCCATTACATTTTGGTACTGAATAAAGAAAGGCAAATATATGACAAATTTGCTTACAGAGTTTCACTTTTTTAATACATACTGTAACTGATTATTTCTTCCCTGTCTGCCCAAATACATTAGGGCTTTGGTTTGCATCAATAATTGCTTGAAACAATTCCTTTCCTTTAATTATTGCAGTAGGCAACCATAAAAAGAAGCTGCACAGAGCTGACATGGCCATAGAAGACACAAACATTGTACAAAGAACATTATCTAAAGAAAGTTGAAGTCATAGTTAAAAATCTTAATCCAATTAGCATCAGTGATTTCACTCAATAATGTTAAATATCATTCATATTTAGGAATAACTTCTTCCATCATACATGTCTACCAAGTTATTAGCCTTTAAAAATAATAATAATAAAAAGAATGTCCCAGGAGTATTGTGCACAGATTTACTTGCCATTGCACAGTCTAGAAGTTCTGACATTTAAGATTATTTGAGAGCAAAGCTCTCCGTATTTTGTCTGTATTTGCAATTTGAAATGAAAAAGCACATCCTGCCTGTTTAAATTATTCTCAGACAGGTTGCCCAAAAAGATGATTCTAAAGATGCCCAAATGTGTATCAGCCTAAGGCCATATTGTACTTGCTTTCAGTTTCAAAGACCTCCTTTCATCTCTGAAGAATGGAATGTTGTTTACTGCTCAGGATGTTTTGCCATGTTATCATGAATGTATTACAAATGTTCTGCTTCTTGAACTAGAGAGTGTTTGTCAAAACCATTCTTTATTCTACATGAGAAGTCTTAAGCCTTTTATAAATCCTGCTCAGATATATTGGGACACTTAAAAACATTTAAATCTAAACATCCTTCTTAAGGATTGCTATCCTGCATAATTTCACAAAATAGTAAAAAAAAAGGTCTGAAGAGAAATGCTTTCCAGTAGCATGAGCCTAAGAACCAGGCACTGGAATGTGAGCTTGCATGCAAGAAACAAAAATGGTTCCACTGTCAGAATTACTTTCACCTACTGCCCTAACAAATCAGTCTATATAGCAACCATATGAGAAGCTTAAATGAAAAGCTTTTACTTGCTTAAAATACAGCAAGTAAATTTGTGACAATGGAATGTTATCAAGGTTTATGGTCAGTTTTAGGCGTGTCGTGTCCACATACTTTTAAAGTGGCAAAGTAAATAATGGATAACCAGCTTTCAACAGCAACACTGTTATCTGTCTCGCTTTGGCATAATCTCATGAAGCTTTTAATAAAGCAGACATACCACAGATTATGAGAAATAACTGAAAAGTACTTAACAGGCAGACTTGTTAAATATTCAGAAACAAATCCGACAATAATTACAGAAAACCACTATGAAGAACAGGAATAGTTACCCGATAGAAGCTTGGGGGAAGATGAGAAAAGGATGGGGAAAACTGTTCTTGTGCTAGACAGATTTTTTTCAGGTTTTTCCAGTGGTATTTAAAAAAATAATAACCATACATTTAGCTTCATGTGAAAGTGCATTAAAAAACTTCAAAGAAGAGAAGAAAAACTGCTCAAAAGCTGTGAACGCTGCTCTCTGCAGCTTGTTTAGAGAAAGACCACTGCCCTTCACTTGTGGTTAACAGGGAGCATTCAAAGACCTAATTCTATATCCATGTCAGGGAAAAAATGAGCTAAAAATTCACTGAAACAGCTCTATCTCATCTGCTTAGCGAGGCCTCTTGTCACAGTCCAGATGAAGAAAAAACTATGGGACAGTTGCCACCACTGTCTCAGTTACAATGCAAATAACCGAGGACAAGGTCCTCTCAGACTCTGCTATGCTAAAATGACAAAGTATTTTCAATCCTACCATCTATTTAAGCTTCCCAGACAACAAGAATGAAAAAGACTGAAGGGTTCATCAGAAAGGACAACTTTACCACCATTGCCTCTACACAAGAGTTACTTTCCAGGCTCCTGATCGTTGTGGTTATGTCAGGCCAACCAGACTTTCACTTGAGCAGTATTGAGGCTTCATGATAGAGGGGCAAAACTTGCTGTAACACCAATTTCTCCCATCTCCAGCAAAGATGATGACCCGTAACAGAAGTAGGCTGTCAGTCTCCTGAGGACTTCTGCAGTCACAAAAGCTTCCCAGGTACTGGGAACTGTTACTCTTCAGCACATTGAGAGATTTGCTCAGAAAAGGTTTGTTAAAAGCACTTTCAGTATTCAACTTGAGCCACAGAAGACGGTCAGGCTCATTGACCATTGAATGGTCAAGCTTTACTGACTTACTTACTGCTTTTTGGGAGAACCTAGCCAAGGTGAACTCACAGAATATTTAAGAGTCCCTATGCATTGTGCATGGATTAATGTCCACAGTCAAATGTCAAATCAAGAACCATTTCCAAAGTCATCCAAAACAGGAACTGTGAGTTCACCTGAGGGGCCATGGCAGCTACCCAGTGTGGAAAGCCACCACAGCTTGGTTACTCTCCACTACAGATAGAATTTCTCTGAGTCATCATTTCATTTAGTCCTTTACACACAGCGTTCTTTCCTTTAACACAAAATTACACACTCCCATCAAATTTGCCAGAAACAATCCTTTCAAGCACCTAACACACAAACTAGGTTTCTTACAGAATGCAACAAACCATTTTGTATGAGGGAACTCACACTTCTTCCTACAGGGAAAGATAAATGTAATTAATTCAGTAAGAAGATGCAACACAATGCAAGTCATTGCAAGCCAGGTTTGTACCTCGAGCCCAGATCCAATGTTCAGTGAATCCAACGGTCTTTTCTTCCTTGGTCCAATGGCTGCCAAAGCTGTGAGGTTGGCTTCTCTTTGTTGCATCTGTGCTAATTCCAGCTGTTGCATCTAATTGAAAAAGAAAACACATTAATTACGATACACATTATGTTCAAGGTTCTTTTTAGAGCTGTTTCAGATGGCTCTGTAGCTCCTACAGAAACAATGTGTTTCACAGCATCTTTCCCCTCTTTCTGGTCACTTCTGACAAACACCAGTACTCAGTCATGCTTGGAGCCCTATGGACAGCACTGTTTAACTAACACCTTTTATGGAGACCACACTGTGGTATCAATGCAGCCTTAACACAAGCCTTGCAGCTGCTTCCTTACCTCCTAAGGTTTGTTGTTTCTGGTTAATGGAAATTCTTGGTCTGAACTAGTTTATGAAGCTGGATTAGTATTAAAAAATTGAAGTTAGCAAGTTATGTGATCTGGTTTTATTCTTATTTCAAAATCTCAATTCCTGACTGCACAAGCAAGATACCAAATTTCCTCTATCACCTGAACTCAGCACTTATAATATAATTTTGTGAAACATTGGCAGTATTATATTATAACAGGATGCTGCTGGTTGACTGCTAGTCTTTCTTTTCCCAGTACATATTTGAATGTTCAGGAACATGTGAAGCAAGTGAGAGATACACTGCATGTTTATTTTCACTCACCTCCAAAACTGCTGAATCCTAAGAAATCATTAGAAACAACTTTCACCTGGTAACCCAAGACAAACTTGGGATGGGATAGAAACCCACAGTAAAGAGCATTAAAATAAAAAAAAAGTTTTATTCTTGTATTTTGAGATACATTCTGTTCAATAACTATCCATTCCAGCTGCTCTGGAGCTCAACCCAGTCAGGTCTGCTGACAGACTTACTGTCTGCAGACCTTGCTAACACAATCACACTGCTTCCAGATCCACTAGCTGTCCAACTTGGAGCATGGGTGGAGAAGGAAGGTTTTCCAAACATAAACCTCTGGGTGATGTCAACCCTGGGATGGTCTCACCTGCAACTAGTACAGCTCTGTAGCCCTTGTCCTCCCCATTCCCAGGACTTAGATGATTATTCACATGGGGATTCTCTGCATGGATGTGTGTGCATGTCTTAAAAAAACTGAAGTACAACCATACCACGTGCAGGAAAGCATCCAAATCTCCCCCATCATAAACCCAATGAATTACCTGGATTTCCTCACCTAGTCAACAAGATATCTTGCTTACCAAGCTTGTAACACTCTCTGATTTTGGTTGCTTTTCAGCTCTCAGAGATCCCACTTGGAGAGGAGAAGAGCAGCTGACAACTGCGCTTGCAGCTCCTACATGGTGTAAATCCCCTACTTGCTACCACTTAAATAAAGAAGAATCCAGTGAAATACTTTGGGGCTCATGGGGGGTGTTTTGGGGGAGAGAGACTTTGGCTGGGTAGTTTCAGGGTGGGTGGGGTTACAAGCCTTACTTTACATATCTAACTAGACTTTAGTGATGGTGGCAGCTTCACATCAGGTACTGCAGCAACTAGGCTATTTAAATAAAAACAGTATTTCAGGGCAAGATTCCTAAAAGGACAGTGTTCCCTGGAAGACTCACACTGCTCAAGGTTTTCCAGCAGAAATCAGGGAAAGTGAGATTTTAACAAATATGTTGAGAATAAAGTTTATGGGGGTTTGTATGTTTCAGTTTTGGAAACAGCACTATTTGCAAGTCATCTTTGATCACCCAATGTAGGCTTTTATTGTAGTAGTACTTCTTCACACAGTAGTATTTCTTCAAAGCCAGACACCATCATTCACTTACCATATACACTATTCTTGCTTTTGTGTGCAGTGTACACAATAAAAACCTTATTTACCAAAATTCACTCAATTCAGTCAGCTTGTTTTTATCTAAATATACAGGATTGCTTTCAATAATACTTTACAGACTATAAACTTTCAAACTACTAGTATTTTGCAATTGTCAGAGGTTAACTTTAGCCAGCTTAAGTAGCATAAAATGTTTAAGATAAATTTTCCTTTAATCTCATATATTGATTAAATCTCATATCTTTATATTCAGTAACACACTCCAGCCAGAGACGGAGGAAGGTGAAAATAAATTAAAAGAAAAATTTGAAACTTTGTAAACTGTGAAAGATTGAGGCAGGGAGGAGCAATAAAATACTTAGAATAAGTGTTAAATCTCAGCAATAAAATGCTGAGATTTTTGGCAGAGGCAGGTGCTAACTTCCAGCCTCAGCTGCCCAGGCTTCCAACACCTGGAGCCACTCATCCTTACAGCAGCTATGGAGCATCCCTGCAGAAGTAGAGCAGGCAGTCCTTCCTGCCAGCAGGGTAGTTCAGTCATCACGATGGTCATGTGTACATGTGTCATGTCTTCTTGCCATGAGAAGGGGCATTGCAACATGCCACACACACAGCACCCCTCTGAGGAAAGATTAAATTCCTAAAGGCTCCAGTGAAAGAGAAAACCAGAAGCGGAAAGATGATTTGCTTTAATTTAGGAACCATTGCACCCAAAGTAAAATGACTTTTAAAACCATTAAACTTAAAGCAAAACAAACGAAAGCCTTTATTAGTCTAATCATATGCTTCCATCCCTGGGAACCACTGGAAAACACATCCCCATTCCCTCTCCACCCAAAAAACACACACCAACCAGCATTACTGCAGTTAGACTTGTCAAAAATGTGTGGCTGCTGAACACCTCTGGCCTGAAGCAGCATTGAAATAAGCCCCTCTCTCCTTTTTACAGCTGCTGTAGATGGGCAGCCATGGTCAAGTGTAAGGACAAAAGGCAGAGCTATGAATTAAACACCAAGAGGGCTTTGGGTTGGCATCAGCATGTGGTGGAGGGGACTGGGCAAACTGAGGCTCTCATGGTGGAGCATCAGGATGCTGCTCTGGTTGAGGACTGGGCAGTGCCTTGGCACCATCCCCATGGAATTCTAGAGACCAAGCGTGCTGCTGGCACAGACACACTGCAGGAAGGAGCAATGCTGCTGGAGGGCAGTGCTGGCAGAGGTAACAAAGGAGAGGATGACAGGGAGACTCTATAAAAAGGATGTGCTTTCTAGATACAGAACTGATGCATCTTTGACCAGGCAGTTCCCAAGACAATGCTGGAATCACACATCATTACCAGCATCTGCTCTCTCTGATACGTTTTCCACCTCCTAGCTAGTCAAAGGATTTTTCAAATCATAGAGCATCTCACCAGGGGTTTGGAGCAAAATTAAAAAAAAAAAAAAATCATAGTCTTGTTGCATTCTATACATCTCAGGGATTTTTCTGAGAACATAATTAAGACAAATGAATTTAAACACTCAATTTCTATAATGGACTAAACAGATCCCCATTAAGCGATATGGGCAGGCATCCAAATTACCCTGCTGAAGCCAGCAAAATCATCTTTTCATCGAGTTTTTTTTCCATTTAAAATTGCACATTAAAGGTCTAAACATTGTGTGAGCAGTTAAAAGCACAGGGTAAGCAGAAGACAAGCAGATAATGTCAAGGGATACCCGAGGATACTGGCTGGCTAACTGTGGCCAGATTTTCCTAAACAAGATTAGGAAAGAGCAAGAGGTGACTGTGTGGAGTCAAATCTTTCTTTAACAGTTAGTTTTGTAGCACGTAAGTTAGGGAAGAAAGATCACTGCATAAGGGGCAGTAAAAGTAGTACATACACTTTATTAAAATATAACAGAGAAGCTGCACAGTTTCCCTTCTACAGGTCAGTTTTATTAACGTTGGTGTCTTTGAGTACGATAGGATACAAAGTGAATTGTCACACCCAGGTGAAATCATACCATCATACTTATCTTGACAACACATTGATCTTCCTTGAAGACTGAAGTGTGTGATGGCAATTCCAGAGGAGCAGGAGGGAGCTGCACCATACACTGGACCCCCAAACCAGCAGGCTGCCCCTCAACCCGACCTATATCATCTGCTGAAAGACGCTGCTCTTCCATCACAACACAAGAACCCAATACATGCTCTATTCAAAATCTGTTCCCCAAGAAGGGCAGTAAGAGGGGATGGGTTCCAGGCAAGGGGCAAATGAATGTTCATGCTTCCTTACCCCCCGCTTCCCGATTTCACATATGCTAAGAATTGCAGTACAAAGAGTTCTGAAAACCTGTGTATAAAGATCAAATTGCTATGAAAACGTCTCCGTCTCAGAACTTGTAAAATAGTCTTTGTTGCTGCTGGCCTTTTTAATAATAAAAATAGGGTTTAAAGTCTGGTCTTGCAGCAAGCAGGAATCTCTAGGGTGACACAATAACCATTTTAGTTAATCTGACCTGCAGCAGAAATCAGGAAATAAGGTACGTTTTAAAGTCCTTCCTTATAGTGAAATGGCATTTGCAGCATGGCTGTAATCACACAAAATGAAAGGTTTTAAAATTGACCTCTCTGTTCTTCACTCAATCCTCTGAGAAAAGTATTTTTTTCCCATTCACAGAAACTCTCTCACGTCTCATACACCACATTGCAGAAAATACGCAAAAATCTATTTTTACTGTTACACCAATGACATTTTTGAGGCACTTTAATATTAAAAAATAAATTTCAAGTTGTATAAGAAGACAAGAAGTACTTCAGATATAAAATGATGAAACTTTTACTTAAAGCAATACTGCAGATTGGTTTTAAACTCTTTTGCTTACGAAGTACATGATAATGTGGTTGCCTGCCTTATCAGAGCCTCAATAATGCAAGTTATGCAAATCTCAAGGCTTTCCCTAAAGAGAAAGAATCCCTTAAACACAACTGATGAAAAGTATACACTGCTACAAATAAAGTCAACTAATTCACAGCAGCTAATCCATGATGTGTACAGCAGAGGGTGGCTGTATTATCAAAGGTGGGAAAAAAAGAGAGTGTTATCTAGCTGAATACAAGTTCACCTTGGAAAAAGAGTAGATTAAAGTCTTCGTGTCTGGCCACAAAGTCCCCAGGACAGGATTCAGATATTTGATATAACCTTTCATAGAGGACAAAGTACATGAAACATTTGCTCTCTAGATCCTCAAAAAACGGTTTTACCAGGGAAGGTTTTTCTAC